GATACCAGGCTTGTTTTGACATCAACACCATGAGTCCACCAAAGCACCACAAACTTTCAGAAACCACATAAATGCAGCAATGTTGACATCAAGTCTACATGAGATCCTAAAGCCACTAGCAACTTGTCCAGCAATTCAAATATGGAGAACCAGTTGTTCTTGACATCAAAGCCACATGAGATCCTCCGAAGCCACCAGCAAATTCCTGACTTCACATAAGATACCAGGCTGATCTAGGAGTTGACCCTGATGAGTTCTTGCCAACATAACCAATTGTCAGAATCACATAGGGCACCACAGTGTTGCCGTACGAACAACACCATGAAACTCCGAAACCGCCTGAATACCACTATTCCATCTAAGGAACTGACCAAAGGATTGGTTTTTTCTTCGAAGGGTTAATGCAAAGACCGTCAAAAAACCATCTTAAGAATGTGTGCTGCACGCCATGATTACGATGGAACTCGAACCAGCTGATAGGAATTATTGAGATCAAGAGGCAAGTCTCGAAAATCCAGGTTTGTTCGAGGGATCCTGAACGCCACCGGTAAAAACTTCGAGCTGATGGGGTCCTTACTCCAGATTAGTGATGGTGGAGACGTCCTGTTAGGCCACATGAGCCATCAGAGAGCAACAGTCCGTGATAACAGCAGTTTTGGGGTACCGAGCGTTCAGGTGTAAACCTGAATCCATATAATGGGTAAAAATATATCAGGTACAAAATAGATGGAATAATATAATAAGCTAAATCAATCATCAATAAAATAACGGATAATAAAATTCTAGGTGATAATTTAAAGTAACGCAACAAAAAATAATAAATAAAATATTGTCATAATTGAATGCATTTATTGGTATTAAAAAATATAAAATATATTATATAAATGAATATTCCAAGCAAAATTTACAATAAAACCGAAAAATAAATCACATTTGCAATGTTGATGGCAGTTTTTTGGTATTAAAAATATAAAATCACTTATGATATGGGAGATCCATCCCAGCAAATATTTACTTTAATAAACCAGGAAATTTTGAGGATTACAAGATATGAAAGCCATTCTAAAAGGCCTTTCGTAAAACCCACAAATACCGTAACGGCAGAAAACCATTAACTTGAAAGAACAAATTGACCATTGATAGAGAAAAGATGCAGGTAGAGACATAGCTTAGTTGGAGTTTATCAATTCAGAGATTCACCTGAAACTGACTTGATAAAACTCTGTACAGAGCGAAACGTTGCCATAATGAAAACTAGCTTTGAATCTGTCCTTTCTTCATCACTATCGGATCAGAAGGGTAGTTCGCTGCTGTAACCAAACTGACCATTGTTGGTGGAGTTGTTGTTGTTGGAGTGAGCCTCGGTGTGGACTGCTGAGGGTGGGTCCTGCCACTGCTTTTATATCCGGTGTGTCCTGCGTCTTGGTCAGGAACACAAGCGTCACAAGGTCTCAGGACCCCTTTGTGTAGTTCCTGTCGTTCTCTGAGTAAATACGTACTCAGATAATAACTACATAATTTTCTCTATTCAGATTGACCTATCGGCCCCTGACTCCCCTTAACACTTACACTATTATCATTATTGTTGCTATTACTTATGTGGGGGAAACGGTAAAACCGTAGGGGGGTCACATAACATCTGGGGAATAAGGGGCAATTAAGTGTGAGACAATTTATTGAATAACAGCCTTTTACAGATATTATGGCCACCTTTTGTACCAAATGCACACTTTGAACCCCTAAACGAAAGCACAGACCTTTTAAGGCAAAATTAGACACAGGTGGAACACACTAGGGTATCTTTGTGGAAACGTTTCGCCACACAGTGGCTTCATCAGTTCAATACAAAGAAGAATGGTGGTCAGATGGAGTTTAAGTACCTCAAACTGTTTGGCCAAACGTTTCAACAAAAAAGTTACCCAGGTGTTGTACATATGTCATTTATCAACTTGTCAATTCTCGGAATCATTTATCTACTTTCCAACGCAGAGTGACCCCACACGGATTTAGAGCTTCTCTTTTAAAATCATAAACATCCTTGTGTCTGGTGGTAGGTATTCGAGTTTGTAAGGACGCTCTGGAACAAACTTGGTTTCAACTGAAATTTGAATCGTTTTGATGGAGCAACTTGCTGTAGTTGGTGGGCATCAGTGAAGTTAAGGGAAATCAGTTGAATTTGTTGTCTGTGCTGACACATTTATGATAATTAAGGGAGGATAATCAAGAGCCCTTCACCACCATCAAGGCACATCCTTAGCATGGTTTTTGACAGGGGAAGTTACAGTTAAACTGCTAACTTGATGCTCTAGTTCCTCTAGAGTGATGGACGCTGTTGATGTCAGTAGTGGAGCTGCATGAGAGGGCTGGGGGTGAGTCAACACAAAATATAATTACTCCATGGGAAAGTGGAGGAGAATTCTTCCTCCGTAAGCCAAGAGTGTCATAAGAGGCGACTAAAATGCCAGAAGCAAGGGGATAATAACCCCCCTTTCCCGTATAAATATGCGAATGTAAAAAGAAGAAAAACTTTGTTTCTTCTTATTTTGGGTCACCAGCCTCTGTGACAAAATATATAGATTCACAAAATACAAAGAAAAAACATACAAACAATAAAAAAATCACTAAATACAAAGAAAAAAATGTGGCAAAACCATACAACAGCCACTTAGTTACGAATATAATTAACATCAATATAAAATATAATATCTTGGTTATAAATATGAAAAATCTATCATTTAAAAATAATATTTACCATTTCTTAGTGGTAAACACAGAGCTACTGGGTCAGAGATGGTATTAGACAGTGCGACCACAAATCCGAAGGTCAACACACCCTCAAGCATGCACGCACACATATAAACATTATCTAATCTCAGTCCATATCAGGATTCGAATCTGAACACTCTGTATCAAAATAGTACTTTCCCTACACAGCTAGATTACGAGGGAGTGGTGAAAGTACTGCGTACTTTGATATAGTGTGTGAAGGCACGATTCCTACTGTGGACTGAATTCAAATTCAAATTCAAAGTTTATTCTCTATAAGGATTACAATGCTGAGTTTACAGAAATTTGGTTATTGTTTGGTTTACATGTAGTAAAATTGAGATTACAGAGTGTACCACTAGAACGCTTAGCATGGCTAGGCATTTCGGGCATACTTATTTTTATTCTTAAATGTAAAATATTACAAATTATGAGGTAAGTTGGTATTATGGCTAAGTGACTAAATACTATTTTGTGAGTTTAGCAATGTGAATGCTAAACGTTCACCAGTATGTGAACTGTTAAGCACACAAACACTCTTACAATAACATTTCGTTCCAAACAGTAACTTCAGTTATATATTTAAGGGTGTGGGTATTTGTTTCTTATTCTAAGCTCGAAAAACGGCTTACCTGTTTACTTGTTGCTCAGGTCTGACCCCTTCAAGCGACTTTTGGGTTTGTCGGGACGCGGTATGACGTCACCTTTTACAACTCTGAGGTATGGCAGAAATGCCATTTTATGTAAGTAGTGATATTATGTTTTATATTGATTTTATTGTTGTAAACTGCTCTTATTTTCTTTTTAGCCTGGCGGTCTACTTGTGGTGGTTTGCGGCATTTTGTGGTAAAACGTGTGACTACTTGGGGGGGGGTATAATTGTGGTAGCTGGTAAGTGCCGTGTGAAAGCTCCTACTACTCTACCCTAACTTACCTTCTACGCCCTCTACAAGCGTCCCCTGCAAAAACTACTCTATTGCTTGCTTCAAAACTCCACTCTAAGCACTCGCTTAACATCTCCAGGCCCGGTGGCCTGGTGGCTAAAACTCCCGCTTCACACACGGAGGGCCCGGGTTCGATTCCCGGCGGGTGGAAATTCCGACACGTTTCCTTACACCTATTGTCCTGTTCACCTAGCAGCAAATAGGTACCTGGGTGTTAGTCGACTGGTGTGGGTCGCATCCTGGGGGACAAGATTAAGGACCCCAATGGAAATAAGTTAGACAGTCCCCGATGACGCACTGACTTTCTTGGGTTATCCTTGGTGGCTAACCCTCCGGGGTTAAAAATCCGAACGAAATCTTATCTTATCTTATCTCTCTCTCTCTCTCCTCCTCTACTCTCTTCTCTTCTCCAGGTGAATAAACACTTAGTTATGCACCTGGACCAACGAGTCCAGCGCGAGTAAGTGGTCCTTGCTGCCGTGTCTTATCGTAGTGAGAGACACTACCAAGTCCAGGACGGGTAAGCAGGGGCGGCGCTAGTATATCTGTAATGGAAGAGCTTGCTAGTGGCTATCTGGTTAGGTTAGGGGTGTTATGGTTATGTTATAACGTCACACAAATAATATAAAACTGATTTACAGAGAAAGTATGATATGGCGAAAGATCAGAAAATAAAGAGTCACGAGAAAGGACGAATTTACTCCATAAACCATAAAACTATCGTTTTAGTTCAGTGTTAGAGACGCTTTTCTATCTTAAATGCACCACAAAAAACATTCTATTTGGAGCATGAACTACCACGCAAGAAAAAGTGAAAACTGGGGTTTATTAAGGTTCACTCCTTGTAATGATACAAAAACTGGTATTTGTGTATGATTAACTCTGATTATATCAAGAAGGATAATCGTTAATATCAAAATTTACAGATAATGGGAAGGTAATGAGGCCAAGGGCTTGCATTACTACCCTTCTCTTCATCAACCATCACCACTAAGGGCAGTATTCATCACAGCCCATCTCGGCATCCACAATCGATACCCACAACTTACATCACTACTTAGGACTACCATTATCTCTAGTATCTCCAAAATACATTAATAATCATAGTTTAGTAGTTACCATGGTTACAGCCTCCACTCCGTCAGACTGGACAACAGAAAAATTTCCCCAATCTCCATTTGTTTTAAATATCTACCTCACATGAAATTTTCCAATTTCACATACAACCACAAATAGTTCCGGCTTGTGCTTACAGACCGTAGGACGTAACACCGCTGAAGAAACTGGCATATAATTAACGATACGATTAGAAGCCATGAACTTATTTACTCGGGAAACGACAGGCGTTACACAAAGGGATCCTGCAACCTTGTGACGTTTGTACACGTACATGACCAAGAAGCAGGACAGACGGGATATAAAAGCACTCGCAGGGACCTCCCTCGGCAGTCCACACCGAGGCTCACCCCACTAACTACCACACCAACAATGGTCAGTTTGGATGCAATGGAATACTGACAAAGTATTAAACGAAAGTCAGGTGCAGATTAAGATGTCAATTTAACAAACTCTATGTAATTTTATCAGATCAGTCTCAAGTCGCTCATTGACTTTAATATATAGAGCAAAACGGTATCACGATAAAGTCTTACTCTACTCCCTAGTTTTTTCTCCATTAATGGTCAGATTTTTCTTTTACATTAATGGCCCCTCTGACTCTGCCCCTGTGAAACTTGTTCAGGGTGCTTTCTATTTTAAGCAATAATTTCAGCACTTAATTTTCCATGACTCACGAAATCGTAATGACACGATTGCAAATAAACCATGCCACGGACGGGGATAGAACCCGCGATCAGTCTCAAAACTCCAGACCGTCGCGTTAGCCACTGGACCAGCTAGCCACAATAAGATTCGTCCAACTAGGTATATTTCTATGGTGTAGAAATATACCTAGTTGAACGAATCTTATTGTGGTTAGCTGTTCCAGTGGCTAACGCGACGGTCTGGAGTTTTGAGACTCTCTGATCGCGGGTTCTATCCCCATCCGTGGTATGGTTTGGTTTAATTTTCCATCAAATCAAGGGAGTCGAAATATACAGAACAATCAATCACTCTCCTGAGTTTCTGTCTCCCTGTGGGTTATTGTTGTGCACTGACAAATGTTCATTACACCTTAGTTATTCATCTCGCTAGTTTTTTCTAACACACATGATCTTGTGTTTTCCAGAAGCTGCTGTTGATCACCGTGTGTATTGCCGTGCTGATGAGTTCGTGCAGACCAGAGGACGTTTCCAACCATCATGTTGCTGCTCCTGAAGGAGGGCCTACCAGCGAAAGTCATGGTGGTCACAGTGGTGTGTCAACATCCCGCGACCACTCCGGGATTTCCCCAGATGTTTATGCTGATCCATACACTAAGACTTCGAAGGACAATCTCTCCAACATCGGTGTCGGTTTTCACTCCGGTCATGGTGTACATAGCAGCGACACCACTTTAAAAAAAGGCTTCGATAGTGCCGCAGTTAGTTCTTTCAGTGTCAAAACTAAGTCCTTCGACAGTGGCTTGTCAGGTGACTTTGTAGGTTCCAATGTTGGCCGTGGTAGCATGTTAGGTAGTTCATATGGTTCCGTTGGTTCGTTTGGTAGCTACGTGGGTGCTTTAGGAAATTCACCCGGTGCCCTTGGTGGCTTCAGAGACAGTCATGGTTCCTACAGTGTCCCTGACAAGGTAACTAGCAGTCGTGGTGACTTTTCTGGTAGCTTTGTTGGGCCTCATGGTATAAGCGACAGTTCCAAGAAGCAGTTTGGTGGCTCCTATGATGACGCAGGTAAGTTTATTGGTCTTCATAGCGATTTTGCCTCTAGCCTTGATGGATCCCTTCGTGGTCATAAGTCATTAGGAAATGGGCCTAGCTACGTGGGTGCCCATAGTAAAGCTGCTGCTGGTCTTCGTGGGTCCCTCGTTAGTTACAAGTCTTCGTCCATCGATCAGGGCTACGTGGATAATCATGATAAAGCAGCTGGAGTCACTGATGGGTCTCTTAGTGGTTTTAAGTCTTTGGGTGGTGGTCATGGACATTTGGGCGGTCATGATAAAGCAGTAGATGGACTGAATGAGCCTCTCGCTGGTTATAAACCTTTGGGAAGTGGTGCCAACTTCGTGGGCGGACATGGTAAAGTCTCTGGTGGCTTTGGTGGCTTCCCCAGTGGATTTAAGCCTTATGACAGAGGTGTTGGCAACGGTGGCAATCCTGGCAGCCTTATCAGTGGCTTTGGTGGGTATCTCAGTGGTATCAAGCCTTATGACAGAGGTGTTAGCACCGTTGGTAATCATGATACTATTGCTGGCTCCTTTGGTGGGTCTCTGAGTGGTATCAAGCCTTATGATAAAGGTGTTGGAACCATTGGTAATCATGGCAACATTGCTGGTGGCTTTGGTGGGGCTGTCAGTGGTATCAAGCCTTATGACAGAGGAGTTAGCACCGTTGTTAATCATGGTACTGTTCCTGGTAGCTTTGGTGGATCTCTCAGTGGTATTAAGCCTTATGGTAAAGGTGTTAGCACTGTTGGTAATCATGGTATTATTGCTGGTGGCTTTGGTGGGTCTCTCAGTGGTATCAAGCCTTATGACAGAGGTGTTAGCACCGTTGGGAATCATGGTACTGTTGCTGGTAGTTTTGGTGGGTCTCTCAGTGGTATCAAGCCTTATGGTAAAGGTGTTATCACTGTTGGTAATCATGGTACTACTGCTGGTGGCTTTGGTGGGTCTCTCAGTGGTATCAAGCCTTATGACAGAGGTGTTAGCACCGTTGGGAATCATGATACTATTGCTAGTAGCTTTGGTGGGTCTGTCAGTGGACTCAAGCCTTTTAGCAGTGGTCGTAGTTACATGACTGGTCGTGGTAGCCACGCTCTCCCAGTGGGTTATCATCGTGGCAACCAGGGCTACATTGGCGACCGTGGTAGCTACTTCGACGTCCCTAACACATACAAACCAACCCACTATGGTTCGGAAAGATAATTTAGACAGATGGACTACAATGTTTATTTCACGTGATGGATACAATAATTCATGTTAAGCGCTAAACCTATGTGGGCCATTCAACGCAAGACATGGTGAAGGCTTAATTCTCCGTCTGCTAAGCGCCAGACCGACGAGCTTCCTATTTGTACTCACCTAGAGATCTCCACGTCTACAATATTTTTATGCTTTATCAAGCGATGAATTGGTCAATAAAGTTTTGATGAATAATCAGCATTTCAAGACAAGATTCCTTACTGATGTTGAAATATAAAAAAAGAAAAATGAAGTATTTCTCTTCAAGTGGTTACCGTGATGCTAATATTTTTTTATTTATTTATTTTATTTATTTATTAATTTGAACATGATACAGTGAAGTACAAAAGAATACAGTTAAATGCAGCATGCCAAAGCCACTTGAATGCATAGCATTACGGGCAGGCTTAAAATTAACTTAAGATTAACTAAGCAATGATGTATTCAGTGGTAAAATATTATTGTAAACAGATAACAATTAAGCACAAATGAGTATTACAAAAACACGTCGTATGGTTGCTTGCATTGCTGCACAATCAGTATTTATTTATTTTTTAATTTGAACATGTTACAGAGAAGTACAAGGAATACAATTTTTAAAGTGCAGCATGCCAAAGCTGCACTTGATTCAAGGAAATGGGGCTAATATTCTTTTCCTCGAATCAAACCTGATAAAGGTACCCTGTCCCATTCCCCAAGACACTGCTTTGACGTTATACTTTATATTATATATATAATATATATATATATATATTTAATATATATATATATATATAATATATATATATATATCGTGTCGAATATGTAAAACTGGTCAATTAGCAAGAACTCATTTAAAATTAAGTCATTTCTAATATTTTTCTTATACGTTTAAAGATATATTTTTTTCATTAATGATAATGTAAAGGTTTTCAATTGTGCACCAAAAAAATCTTAGACTACTTACCTAACCTTATTATAACAAGAACAATTTATTTTAGCTTAACCTAACTAAATATATTTTAGTTTGTTTACAATAATTTAATATTAAACAAACACATGAAATATATTTTTTTTGTTAGTCCCGAATGAATTTTGGCGAATTATTGCATACAAATTTTAATTATTGTCCTATATGGCAATTGAGCGTTGCTATTTAAGCCAAGATCGCAATGTTTCTGCCTATTGGGCACGATATAATATATATATATATATATATATATATATATTATATATATATATATTATATATATATATATATATATATATTATATATGCGATTTCGCAAATAATTATTCTGAACCTACGAAAAAAAAATATGTATTTCAGATTAATGCAAATGTTTGTTTCCTATATGTTATACAATATTTCAGAATATTCATAATTTCACATACTATAAACTTTTTAGTAATTTTAAAAGTCAAATATATAGTTGATTTATAAGTCCCTCTAGTATATCCACATATGCTCGAGTGTCTAGTAAGCTAGAAATTACTTTAAACTTCCGAAATGTTTCATAACGCGTTAATTACTCCATGTCAATGATAATTTTTATATCTTATACAAAAGGTTATTTTGTGTAGAGGTGTGTGTGATTGTGTGTGTGTATGTGGTTGGTTGTATTACCTAGTTGTGGTTCCAGGGGTTGATTCATAGCTCCTGGCCCCGCCTCTTCACTGGTCGCTACTAGGTCACTCTTCCTGCTCCATGAGCTTTATCATACCTCTCTTAAAGTTATGTAAGGATCCTGCCTCGACTACATCACTTCCTAGGCTATTCCACTTCCTGACAACTCTGTGACTGAAGAAATACTTCCTAGCATCCCTGTAATTCATTTGAATCATTCAACTTCCTATTGTAACCTCCTTGTTCCTGTGTCCCATCTCTGGAACATCCTGTCTATGTCCACCTTGTCAGTTCCTCTCAGCATTTTATAAGTCGTTGTCATATCCCCCCTATCTCTCCTGTCCTCAAGTGTCGTCATGTCGATTTTCCTTAACCTCTCCTCGTAGGACATAACCCTTAGCTCCGGGACTAGTCTTGCTGCAAACCTCTGCACTTTCTTTAATTTCCTTACGTGACTTGGCTAGGTGTGGCTTCTAAACTGGTGCTGCATTCTCCAATGTAGGCCTGACATACACGGTGTACAGGGTGGCAAACGATTCCTTATTGTGCGTGTGTGTGTGTGTGTGTATGTGTGTGTGTGTGTGTGTGTGTGTTTGTTTGTGTGTGTGTGTTTACTCCTAGTTGAGGTTGCAGGGGTCCAGTCCTAGCTCCTGGCCCCGTCTCTTCACTGGTCGCTACTAGGTCAGTCTCCCTGAACCGTGAGCTTTATCATACCTCTGCTTAAAGCTATGTATGGATCCTGCCTCCACTACATCGCTTCCCAAACTATTCCACTTCCTGACTACTCTGTGGTGAAGAAATACTTCCTAACATCCTTGTGATTCATCTGTGTCTTCAACTTCCAACTGTGTCCCCTTGTTGCTGTGTCCCATCTCTGGAACATCCTGTCTTTGTCCACCTTGTCAATTCCTCTCAGTATTTTGTTTGTCGTTATCATGTCCCCCCTATCTCTCCTGTCCTCCAGTGTGTGTGTGTGTGTGTGTGTGTGTGTGTGTGTGTGTGTGTGTGTGTGTGTGTGTGTGTGTGTGTGTTGTCTGAGGTTGTGTGTTAAAAATGTGTACCGGAGAGAGCTCCCCCTCACTCACTCAAGCTAGATTGATTTAGATAACACTACTGAATATACAGAACAAGAGCCTTTCTTATATGTAAATCATCTCCAAATCCAGCTCTGTCTCAGCTATATTTGCATCTCCAATGTTACCCACAACACTCAGCCTCAGCTGGGTTTTTTTTTCTGCTGTCGGTCTAATACAATTATAAAAGACCTGGTTTAGTTTTTACATTGTTTTATTTTGTAGTTGGAACTAAAATTCTCTGGATTAAATGAGAAACAGCCAAAATAATTTGAAAACTAACTTTATTATAGTATTCAATCACGGCTTGTCTTACATTCTCCTGATTACTGCTGTAAATTCGAGGCAGCTTAGCTGATACTCATTCCCTCAGGAATAAACTGCCAAACAAAATATCCCGAGGGCCATAACTGCTGCTCTCTTCCTCGGAATATACTAGTGGTCCCGAGGCAGCATAACTAACAACTCTCTCCTTCAACAAACTACCAAACAAGAGGTCCTAAAGCTGCATAACTACTGCTCTTAGTGGAAGGTGCGTTTACAGTCAGTTAATACTCTTAAGGATTCAAAACTTATATTATTTACCCTCACAGTGGCTATCATCATTTACAGCACAATTCCCACCAATGATAATTTTAACAGCCACTATCCGTTGAGCTAAAGAAAAAAGATATTTTTATGATCCGCAACTTTTATCAATGTTCTTCTCGGCATCTACATCATGCATCACTTACCCCATCATCAACAACTGTTACCTACAGCAACCACAACCTGTATCACTAGCTCTTATCAGTATCATATCTGCAGCAAACTTTTCACCTAACTGTTCAAGTTACAGCTATTATCAGTCACCAAAACATTCACTTTTGTTCCAGGATATGCCGACATACCTAGCACACGACACCAGAGACACGTAATAGCAAGTAATGATCAAAGAATTCATATTATTAAGCAGGAACATTGCTATCCAGCAGACAGCTGTACTAAATAAAGGATTTCTGTGACCTTGTTACGTCCGCTTGTGACCACAAAGCACTTGCAATGGTCAGTTAGTTTTAAAGAGTTAATATTTCTCATTCTTCCTTTGTGAACTTTAAATTCTTTAAAGGGTAAATTCTGAATTAAGTATTCGTTGGTTGGTTTCCTAGGTTTAAAAACTTATCGACTATACGACGGTCTCTTAAGCTACGTTTCACCCGTACACCACCATTTAAGATTGGTTTAATCCGTAAAACAGGGATTAAAATAAGTTATAAGTGTACATACATTCTTGGTGTATGAACACTTGAGACATGCACAGGTCATGGTTCATGTACACGGAAACGTAAACATCCCAGTGTGTATTTACATTAAGAGATACGAGCGTCTCGCTGTGTATACACTGTTGCCGTTCCTGGAGGAGGAACTTCTAGCGGAAGTCATGTGGTCATGGAGCCGAATTAACATTCCACAACCACTCTAGGATATACCACGACGTTTCCGCTGATCCATTCACTAAAACCTCTAAGGATACTTCTCTGTTGGTAGTCACGTTTGTCATACAAGAAGAGTATACATAGCACTATTCCTGGTTTAGTTACTGTACAGTTAAACCAAGAGAGGAGAGAAGATAGGAGAAAACAAGAAACGCTTCTGTCCAGAAGAGGAGGGTAGCAGATAAATAATTTGATATGGACATACAGTAGTAGTCAAAACACAAAAACAACTGAAACAGGATTGGCGTTAGCAGACTTGGGTGACTTCGTGGACATAGCCGACGGTCGTACAAGATCTTTGGCTAGTCCTTATTTTCTGGTGTAAACCGGGTAAATGATTGGGTCAAATAGAGGAAAAATACACTTGTTTGCCCACGTATCTTGTCTTTCAGGTTCTCTAGAACACTTTGACAGCTCTATTCTTGGTGCTTTTCGTGGTTCTCTCGAAGTCTACGATGTCTCTACGAATAATCTTGGTTTTTACGATGATCCTAGTTGTTAGGATTCAAATACTTCTCGTCATTGGTGGTTTTGTTAACTCTAACAGTGCTGTTACCTTTCTTGATGGTAGTAGCGGTTCCCTCAGTATTCCTGCACGATTTCACAGTGCTATAAAGGTTACGTTGATAGTCGTGACAGATATTTCAGTGATCACAGGAGATACAGTCCTCTCAGCTATGATTACAAGAGAGGAATTATATAGATATCATGTGCTGTTTCACGTAGGTAATTTCAGAAAACACTTGCAAATAAATTCCTTAAGTCTCCCTTTGAGGTTGTGTCCCCTGAAGATGTCTTGGTATAAACAAAAGAAAAAGTTAGATGAAATTATTCAACTCTATCCAAGACTTAATAATTTTATGAACGTATTTTGTTTAAATACAGTATTTAATAGTTTCAAAACGAGGATAACAGATTTAAAAAATGGACTACGAGAAATATTGCCTATTCTCATTAATCATTTTCTTTTGTTATAAACAAAGGCAACCGTCGTCAGAGCTGCTATTACAATCACGTTAAATA